GTGTCAGTATTTTGTTGAACCACCTTTTGCTTTAATTACAGCCTTTAGTCTGTTGGGATTTGTCTCTACTAACTTTGCACATCTAGACTTTGCAATATTTGCCCACTCTTCTACGCAGAACTGCTCAAGTTTAGTTAAATTTGATGGTGAGCGTTTGTGGACTGCAGTCTTCCACAGATTTTCAATGGGGTTTAAGTCTGGGCTCTGACTAGGCCATGCAAGGACATTCTCCTTTTTCTCCTTCAACTACTGTGTGCTCAGTTTTGCTCTGTGCTTTGGGGTCATTGTCATGTTGGAAGATAAAAATTCCCATTGACAACTTTCTGGCAGAGGGCCGCAGATTTTCCTCAAGAATTTGACGGTATTTCTTTTCCTACTGGCTCTTGCATCCAGTTTGGAGTGATGCCCTGAACCAGGGAGGGTCTGTGTTGTACCAAATACCTTCCACTTCTTAATAACAGACTTCACTGTGTTTCTTGGCATTGATAAAGCCTTTGATTTTTTTTTTGTATCCATCTCCTTACTTGTGCCTGTTCACAACTTTATCCTTTTGACAGTGCCTTGCCACCCATAGTTGATTGTTTGCTTCAGTTGCACTACCAAGGACTGAAATGCTCCAGGAAAACTCTTTTCATGCTGAGCTAATCAAAATGAACACTGCAGCTGATCACAGTAGAAAGTCAAATGGCTTTGTGTGCCATTGAGAAGGTGATTAGCTACACCTGTGAGTTTACATATCGATTTCCAACTCGGTGATTCTATTTTTTTTTCTGACATGTTGGTGTTATATCTTTCACTTGGATGTTATAAGTTGCTCTGAGTACATACAGCTGGATAAAACAAAAACTGTGTCCGTCTTCATTTCAGGCTGCATAGCAACAAAATGTGATTTTTTTAAAGGGGGGTATATATCGTGTATATAACCATTCAACATCTATAGCTGTATTAACTATAAGAGGATCTCTGTATTTTGAACATATTTTAAATAGTATTTACCTCTGTTTTACACCTGGCACATGTCTTGATCTATGAATCACCAGTAAAAATGCTGAGAACAAATGCTGTTGGTTCACACTCTCCACTTATATTCACCCCAGATGCTACATACATCATCTAAAGACAAGGCATTCAAATATTTTTTATTTTCTGTAAAAGGATAAAGATAGGGTCAGCCTAAAACAAAATAAACAAGAGATAAACGTCTTCACAGAAACAGCAGCACTCTGAAAATCTCAAATGTACAAAACACATTCCTAAATTCAGATTCATCTTCATATTTGGCATACCTTTCAATTAGAATATAAAACACCATTTATCACACTCTGGTGGATTTACGCATGGAAAATTACTTTGTGACCTAGCGGGACATGAGGCAGGGAAAAGGGCGCCCTTTTACGCAACTTGAGTTTGTTTGATGCACTTCTGGCAATAATTACAGCTGCAGAGCAGCTCCAGAACAGGCCGAATGAAAAGATCCAGACACACAGGACAAGACAGAGTCTTATAAAGAGTGTCCTGCTTTTCAAACATGCTAAGCACTTCTAAAACTTAATGTGTTATCTTGCCTTATTCAAAAACTGGAGTTAGCTGCTGGGCAACACTTCAAAAACTACACAATCAGAATTATTATTTGCAGCATTAGCTGACCCGGATGACCTCAGTCTAATTGATGTTTTCTTTCATGAAATTATGATCCACACACATGCAAATAAATATGATTTATTTAGAAGTTTAATAAAGAAACTTGCTTAATGGAGGCAAAGTTGAATTAATATGTTAATAAGACAGTGTGCCAAAGGTAACATTTGGAATGTTAATTTTATAGACTTGAATGAAAATCTAATAAATAAAAAATAAGCAGTGCTTTGGAAAAACCCACAATAATCTGTCTTTAGGATTTGGACATGAAAACATCTTACAATTCTTCCACGGACATGAATGAATAAACATGTATTCTGCTGGCTACATGATATTTACTTAAAAAGACAATGATAACATTTTAGTTGACAAATGAGGTCAGTTTCAACACCACAGTGTTATCTAGTACTAAAGCACAACGACAAACACATTTGTACATATTTCTTCCACTTTTTATGTTAAAGAAGCAGCTTAGTAATAAATAATGCCAATAAAAGGTAAAGAGCATCCTGCAAAAGCCTGTCTACGAGGCAGTATTTTGCTTCATTTTAGCAGGAATTGTATCGATACATTCTCAATTTATTTTTCAAAATTGTGATCAAGGCCACACTGAGCTAATCCTAATGTAAACTGCATTACATTATGAATGAAAGCATTCAGTTGTCCTCTATTATACCTTAAATACAAACCTTTTTGAAACCTTAAATACAAATTGCAAAGGCAAGAATCAGCAAATCTGGCAATTTGCTTCATTCGATAAAAGCATTAATAATTGTATCATAAAATGAGATGTTGCACAGTGATATTAGTTGGTTCAATAAATATTGTGGTACATCTACAATTATCTCTCTATTCAAGCAGTATTATATGACAAAACACATATTTTCATGAGAATCCTCAGTTCGTTAGAGTCAAACAAAACCATAAAAAATAAACACGACATACTTAAGTTAGCTAATAAATATTGTGTATCAAAAATAAACTATTAAGAAAAACAAATTAGAAAAATAGCCTAACATAACCTTGTGGCACACACATGTATGGCAGTACTTATTGTTCAATGTAAAAAAATTTTTGAATGAGCAATCGTGGCCACTGTAAATCTGTAAGTTTGTGTCTCTGTGTTTGTTTGATTTTTTTCTTTAAAATCACAGTGCAGACGCCAGATTTCAGTTTCTCACCCTCTTGATTAGTGTACATGGGAGCAGTGGCAGGTCAGCTCAAGCTCCTCCATTGCTTTTGTTCTCAGATCATTGAGGACAGGGATCATGACGTCTTTTAGAGTCTTATAGCTTAACTGCCCGTTCTCTGAATCTGAGGAAATCTAGATTAGACAAAGATTAGAATCACATAATTAGGATAAATAATCTAAAAAGTATCAAACCTTACTTGGTGAAAAAAAAAAACATCTTCAATTTCCACCAGTAGTCTCTTGTGAAAATGTTTTGTGGCCATGACTTACCCAAGTAAATGTTTTGATTGTGCGTTCAAAAAAGGCATTCTCAACCTCTTCTGGTATTTGAAGCAAATGAGCAGCGCAGTCAAGAATACACAGAAGGGTTTGTTTTTGTCCCTAAACAACATAAAAACACACACAGATGTTTCAGTGTACACATAATCCATTTAGATGGTGAAAAAGGCACATTTGTAATAAAATATACTCTAAAGGAGTGGTTCTCAACCAGGGGGCGTCTGCAAACTTCCAGAGAAGCTCCGGTAAGTCTTAATAGTAATTGAATTTAATTATATTAATCTTAGTCATGATGAAATGGAAGTAGCAACAGATCCTTTGTTTTCAGTATTTTAAAATACATCCGGGTGAAACAGATTATCGAAAATGTAGGATGGGGACTTGGTTCTATCAAATGGTTGTTCATTGGAATTTGAGATGAAAGCGATGCACTCAAAATTGGCATATGAACCTGAGTCACCAGAAAAAAGTCTGACACTTTCATCACAAGGTCCAGTTATGGAATTTTGAACAATGAAAGAAAAAAAACATATGCACAAATTATATTGTTCACAAGATTTATAACATGCATTTAGAAAATAGGGAGAATTTTCATTTCTTTTTTCACTCTTCACATTCTTTCAAAACAGCTTTATAGAAAATCATGATGCTAATGTTTATAATATCTTAATATCTTCAAACCTTATAGTTGCATTTCGCAGATTAGAACTGGGCGATAATACAGTTTACATTTTGTGATTATACAAGCAATCAAGTAGTTGAGGTATGCTATATAGTGTATATATAGTGACTATAAATGAACTACGCGAGTATACTGTATGTGTACGGATAAAGTTGAGCATACCAACTTTATATAAAGAGCTGGACGGTAATATAGTTTTTACATTTCACGACAACAAAATCAGGCAGTTGAGATTTGCTATACAGTATATATTGCTTTCTCTGAGTGTACTGTATGGAAGAGAATAAGGTTGGATATAATGCAAATTATAAATTTTTAAAACTTTAAATGAAAATGAATCAACATGCAAAAAGAAGTACAGCATAGGTACAAATCAGCTTACATAGGAGGGCTTTCAAATATTATCTTGGAGGTCTTGGAGTCAAAAAAGTGGAGAACCACTGCTCTAAAAACACTTTTTCATGTGGCTTGATACCTTGTCGAGTGAATTCAGAGCATGTTGGGGATTGAATCTGTTTCCAGCCAAAGTCTCAACATCCTCTTTTGTGATGACTGGCTCCTTTAGTTGTTCTAGCCAAGACCACATGAGCATGGAGAGCACCACAGGATCTCTCTCGGTGCACAGCCTTTCCCATGCACCTTCACGGGAGTTCAGCTCTGTCTGAGGGGCAACAGCAATTGCAGAAACAACTGAAAGTTACCGAGTGAATATCTGAGGTTGTGTTATAGAAGAACAGGATATGGAATTGAAGTTCTGAGACTCAATTCTTCTGAAAATATTGCTAATATTGCTCCCTACCTGCCACGTTGAGACTGTGCTCCTGAGGTCTTCTCCATCAATGTCCATCGTAAGAGCTTTGGCCACAAACAGATGACGAGTCTCAGGTGAGAGTTCACTTTGAAGCGTTAAAATAGGAACATCTGTCAACTGTTGTATGTCACCATAGGTTGTGTTTTCATTAGGGCTGAGGTGACTTTTGCCAACTTGACGTGTTGAAAACATGCTGTCACTGGTCCTCCCTAGAAAGCCATAGGACATGCTGCGCTTTGTCTCCTTCAGTGGTGCCCGTTTTACGGAGACAGGAGAGCAGGATACTTGGCCTTCAACTTTTTTGGATTGGACCAGGGAGCTACAGGAACCAGTTGAAGAGCCATGTTTGGGACTGTTGTTGATTTCGGATGTCAGAAGGTCAGGGGTTTGTGTAGATAATCTGCTCTGCGACACATAAACTTCGGTAAAGTTTAACCCAGATTTGCTGCCAAGAGCATTCTGGGGACTTTGTAGTACCTGCACCCTGGGGTCCAGTTTGTTCAAGGCTGAGTCACTATAGCTAAGACATTTCCTCCAGATGAGCTGAGACTTGTAGGTATTGTCTACCGTCGGCCATCTCCAAAGCACATCGAACTCCTGGTCGCTACAGAGAGGCCGGTCATGAGGTGGATCACACTGGGTTTCTTTAAGAAGCAAGCTGGGTTGGTCGGGAGAGCGAGGTGAGGATATGGGAATCCCTTTCCCCCTCATCTCTTTCCCTAACTGCTGAAGGGCTTGCAGCGAGACTGTCTTCTCCACTTCCTCTGTGAGGTCTGGGATGTCCAACACCTCCTCTTCCACCGTTTGCCGGTCCTCTGCTATGTCCAGGAGGAACCTGCAGACCAGGTGTACGATTTTTGGCACGTTCTTCATGAGACGTGCTTCATAGCCATGCAGCAGGTGCCGCTGACGAGTCAGGTACTGAGACAATGTGACCATGTGAGCTTTGGGCTCGGCACACGAGAATACACTCCGCAGAGGCACAAGGAACTGGGCGAACTCTCGCACACACAACAGTTGGCCACGAGTCTGGATGGAATTTGGACGTTTAGCTCTAACGAACAAAATGGCCTGATCTGCACTCATCCGGGATGTGAATACTAAGAAGCATGCTATTAAGACACCTAAGAGAGGACGAATGTGCATTAAGGGTAGTTAATAATCAGATAAATGTATAAGGATTGAAACAAATCTATTGCAGTTATCTACTGAAATTCTTAATTTATCACAGCAAAACTTTCAAGAGAATCAAGATACTTACCTGTTCTGCCAAGTCCAGCATGGCAGTGGACAGCCATTTTTCCCTCTTGCATGGCAAATGACATCACCTTCACCATGTCAAGGATAGTAGTCAAGGATGCCACGCCGTAGTCCTTCCACCCGAAGTTGTAAAAATAAACTGGAAAAAGTCAAATGTATGTCTCTTAAGATGAAAAAAAAAGTCTCTAAAAAATGTTATTCAAGAAATTCAGTTCAGACAGCATACGTTTTTTGCTATCTATTTGCTTTTAGCATGTTTATGTTGCTTCATTTTTAGATTTATTATCTTACCCTAGTCCAAAACCCAGACTTTCAACCTTAAACTATTAATATTCATCATAAACATGACTTATTACATGTTCAAAACAATGATAATCAAAGTAAAATAAACCATTTCAATATTTGTGTGAAAATTATGTCATTTATATATTTGTGTACTTAATAATTGTTTAAAAAATGTCACATGTCCCAAAGCTGGTTTTTTTCTGAAGTTAGTGCACTTGTTTTCCAAGAAGACTATTAGAGTATCACGTGTAAACTTATATTTTTGCTGTGTGTCATTTCCAATTTACAAGCTGTAATTTTAATTTAAACATTTTATTTAGGTTACATTAAATGCTAGCTAGGAAAATAATCTTAGCAAAACAAAGGAGATATTTTATTTTTAAATGATGAAAAATGTCATTTCCACCACCGTCATTTCAATCCCAGACTGCTAAACACAGAGCATAATTTGTGATGTGGTGGAAATGACACTGTAGTGGAATTTTTCATTATAGATTACAAAAAACAGGGCCAAATAATCCCATAGTTGAAGAAACACCTCTACATGTTGTCTATTTTTATGTAAAACCATATTCTGTCCTTTCTGGATAACTGGGAACATAAATTATAAAACACACATAGGATCTCTCATCAGTGCTGACTCTTCTTTAATTTGAGAGACGCTTCATGCATGTTTCGACATGCAGCGCTCTTCGGAAATTGTGCCTTACATAGTTTCCCAGAAGGTGCTGTCTATAAGCACAGCACCACTCTCAGGAGATCTTGTTAAAGGCTGCCAATCCCCCGAAGCCTAAAACTCCTGCAAGCACAATCACTTCATGCATAGAAAGCAAATATTGCATAAAAGGTTCTTTAGCTTGACTAACACATTGACAATTTAATGTGATAATAGTCAGGATTTATCCCAGCCTGATTCCCCCGACCACTGAGAAAGAAAGAGGTGTATGATGTTTGTGTGCATGTGTGAGTTACTCACTCCCTGCCTCCATGAAAACCTCTGGGCGATAGGTGAAACCGCTCTCTGACTCCAGAGTGCTGCCGCAGCTGGCGTGTTCCCCTGGACGCTGCAGGTTAATTACTGTCTTTAAGCCACACCTAGAAGGAAGGAAGATTAAGCATTAGCAAAGCAGTCTGTGGTCCATCTTGGGAATCAGTTATTGGTAGCTTGCCGCTGAGTACAACATACTCATGAAACTGTTCGATGACGTTGAATTTTTCAATGGTTTCAGTTGAAGGTCTTGCCATGGCTAACAGGTTATCAGTTATCCTGTAAAAAGAGTATAAATTAGATATCAACAAAATATCTGACTCCATAACATTAATACAAATATTACAAAATAAGAACAAAAAGAAAAGCAAATGGTTAATATGCAAGCGAGCATTTTTTTTATTGTCATAGTATCAAAGGCAATATTACATTATTCATAGAAAATAAAATAAAGGAAATAATAAATAAATAATAAAATAAAATCGTCGCCCAGGATTGACAAGCAGTTTAGAGATTGGATGGAAAATAAAATAAATTAACTAAGGTTTATTTGTTTGTTTGTTTACCTTATCAGTATCAAAGGAAATTAAAAAAAAATAATAATAATAATAATAATAATAATAATTTTTCTTTGATAATATTTTTATAATATTATATTTTTTATAATATAATAGATTTATTTTATAAAATTTGTTTCTTTGTTTTTGTCATATCAGTATCAAAGGCTATTTTTATGAAAAAATATAATAAAAAAATAAAATGTAATGGATTCAATTAAATTAAATTAATAGTGTAAAATTTTTGTTGCCTTCGACTAACAATATATCTGAGTTTCGAATTGTTTAGGACTAGTACAAAATATTTTGGCATGTTCATTTCAAACAATGCACATTTAGTCTGTTTCGTTCGATCAGAGAGCAAGAAGACAGCTTACCAGGAGGAGTATAGTCCTTTGATGGCTTGTTCTTTGTCGCTCCAGCGAGAGGGGTTTTCGTATTTGCACGCTCGACCACCACACGCTATGGAGCACTGCATATGTCCTGGGATGACATGCCTCAAAGTCTCGCCCACTTTAGTGTACTTTGCAGTGGGTACTCTGACATTTACTAGAGAGATAGATGAAGAACAATTTGATTTCCAAATTTAGTCATCAGACTAATTAGCTCCAACTTAAACATGACATATTACATCCACAGTCTGTGATGTCAGTCTGTGCCTTGGACATGCTAAGCGCCACAATGACCCTTTGAGAAGAGGAAGTCAGAACTTGCATGGCTGAGCTACGCCGCCTCTTCAGCAAGGTCTCTGAAACTGAGTGCCTGCGCGTCTTTCGAAAACCCATGAAGATCTCATCGACCAGGGAAGAAGAAGCCCATCTCTGCATGTCTCCCGTCTAAAGTACCGATGACACTACATTTAGCACAGCCTGAACAAACTAAGCGCTGACCCCAGAGCAGTGAATCATCGCTACACAATCACTGCGCTGCACAAAAGAGGCATGAGAGACCAATCCAATCCAATCGGTTCATCAGTTGCACTTGAAGGGGGTCTCCATGGTGACCAAGTTCGAAGTCAGTGGGAGGCTGTGCAGAAGCTTGTGTGTGTGCTGTCTCAGGTGGAAGAGAAACAGGGTGATGTGTTTTATGGAAATGCTCCGGTCGCATAACCCTGCATGCATTTCAACAAAATGAGGCTTGAATTACACCTTTTCAACTAATGTACTCCATCTGCTGCGCTGAATACAAAGATTCTATGTAACTCGGAGCATAAAAACTGAATACTACATAAAAGAAAAGTAGTTTCTTATGGGCTTATGGCCATTAGTGTTCTTTCACACCTAACCCACTTGAAATCAGAGGAAATTAAAAGGAGATACATTATCTCTGTACTTACAGGTGCATCTCAATAAATTAGAATGTCGTGGAAAAGTTCATTTATTTCAGTAATTCAACTCAAATTGTGAAACTCGTGTATTAAATAAATTCAATGCACACAGACTGAAGTAGTTTAAGTCTTTGGTTCTTTTAATTGTTTTTGTTAAATGTGAGCCAAAATCATCACAATTAAAAGAACCAAAGACTTAAACTACTTCAGTCTGTGTGCATTGAATTTATTTAATACACGAGTTTCACAATTTGAGTTGAATTACTGAAATAAATGCACTTTTCCACGACATTCTAATTTATTGAGATGCACCTGTAGAGTGGCTAATCGAGATGGAATGAGTCATTTAAAATATATTGGGAAAAAATATGACAAAAGACTTTACAATGTCTGCACCAGTCTAGATAAGTTAATGTAGCCATTTAATTACCCTTCATGGAAAGATGGTAGTTTACAAAAAAATATTTTTGTATACTACCGTCAAAGAATGATAAAATCCAAAAAGCTTGTATCAACTTATTATACAAGGCAAAATATACATCAAAGTAGGTCTGCACGATTATGACAAAAAATCATAATTGTCGATCATTCCCTTGAAACTGTAATTGTGATTATACGATTATCACAATTTTCATTGGATGATGTTTTGAATAGCTTTATATCATTGTTTGAAGCAACTGCATGGCATATTTTTATATGAAAATAAACAAACACTCTTCCGGAAAAAAGTTTGTTTTCTATAGCATTAAGCCTCAAATGTCAACTATATATTGGTTTGGTTTCTTCTTCTTAAAAAAAAAAAGTAAAAATATGCATGGTATTATGTTATACTAAAACTAAAATGAAAACAATGGGGGGGAAAAAACCTTAACATAACTTGTAGAAAGAAAAAACACATCTTAAGCATGCAGAATAATGTAAGTGGACTCTTTTTTTGTAATTGTGCCTTTAAACGATTATGTAATTGTGGCATCCGCAATTGTAATCACAATTAGAAATTCGATTAATTGTGCAGCCAAAACGTTTTCGGGTTTAACCCTTCCACAGTGCCATTTTTATGTTTTTGAAAGAAGTCTCTCATGCTCACCAAGGCTGCATTCATTTAATAAAAAATACAGAAAGAAAAACAGTGATATTGTAAAATATTATAACAATTTAGAATAACTGTTCTCTATTTTAATATATTTTAAAATGTAATTTATTCCTATGATGCAAAGCTGAATTTTCAGCGGCCATTACTTCAGTATTCAGTGTCACATGATTCTTCAGAAATCTTTCTAATATGCTAATTTGGTGCTCAAGAAACATTTATTATTATTATTGATGTTGTGCTGCTTAATATTTTTCTGAAAACCATGATATTTCTTTGATGAACAAAGTTCAACAGCATATATTTGAAATAGAAATATTCTGTAACATTATAAATGTCTTTACAATCACTTTTGAATAATTTAATATGTCTGTGCTAAATAAAAGTATTAATTTCTTTAAAAAATATTTTTTTATAAAATTAGAAATTGATAAAAAATTAAATTGTCATTAATTTATAAACAAAAGGCTGTTAAATATTTATGTCTGTTCAGTCCTTGCATATCAGAATCTTAGATCAGAACCTTAATTATTTTCAATTACAGACTGTGCATTAAGCATTTAAAATATGCCCCAGCCACAGGTAGAGAAACAGCAGGGTATTACCTGGCTCCATGTCAGTGCTGGACTCTCTGCTGTTAGCTGAACTGCTGGTGGAGTAGGGCAGGTCACTCAACAAACTGACGCCTGCTGCCATGGCCGACACTGAAAGGTGGAAGCAAACATGGTGTCAAAGCTTCCGACACAAAACAATGGCAGGGTAAACAGTCAGGACACAACATAAATGTGGAAGTTGTAAGGCTGGTTGCTGGGGAGTTTTCCCTCCTGGGAGGAAAATGTACTAAGTGTGGTGTTGTGTCACACATTGGATCTAGCGTCGCTGCAAGTGGCATATATAATGAGAAAAGAGGTTACAACCTCTTCCCTCCAAAAGCTCTAGATAAGAACAGAGTGTAAAATAAAGAACTTTACATATTTAAAGGTGATCTTGACTCTTTAGGAAACCAACAATGCTGTTGTTTTCCATATATATATATATTTTAAAAAATCAAATCATCAAGATTTTTTACAGGAATTAACCTTATAAATGAATGAGAGGACTACAGATTTCCAGTCTTTTGTTGTTGTGTGAACTAAGTGAGGGTTTTTTTCTATTCTATACTAGTATGTACAGAGAAGCTATGGAAACTTCAATGTGTCAGTTTAACCCTACACTCCACTGCATATCAAGTGTCAGCGGTGACTACTCACATTACTATTGTGACTGTAATAGCCATTACTTTAATCACAGGTTGGAGCAGCAATGGCTGTAACGGTCATGCTCTAAAACAGAGCTATTACTTCTGGATTTTCACATTCCTGCTTATTAATATCTTGCATGATAAATTACTTTGGTCTGAGAATGGTATAATACTGTTATTGTGCAAAATTGGGAGTTTATTCCTAATCACACTTTCTAAATGTATAGTTTGAAAGCACTAAGAGGAGTTATATTCAATGACAGGGTATCTGCAGGATTTTTAAGCTCAAATTTAAGACTTTTAAAAGACCTGCACAGATCAAATTAATACCATATGAGTGGGGTAGGGCAATGTCTATGGTAACATATTAAACTGTAAAATGACTGTAAAAAGTATGATTTACCGTTCAGATACAGGTTTTCACAAAAACAAAACGTTTTATAAAATGATAAACTTCACATTTCAGCCTTTAAACCATTTTCAAGAAAATGGATGTGTCAAAAGTATCAATTATTATATTAATTAAATAACCTATAAATATATTTGTTATTAATTGTTTAGATTTTTATAATGCATTATCTGCTTGTCAATCCACCAGTTCACATTTACAACTCTGCGTGTTTACAGCGTAAAAACATGGGTTGATTTTCACATTTGTCTGAACAAAAACACCAGAAGGGCTGATTGAAAATGCAAATTCATTCTCTGCCAGCAGGTGGCGCTTTCAGAACTGCAGAAATATAGGGGTTTCCCCGGTAACCACAGTACACACAGCAGAGCAGCACCTGACTTTGAAAGTTTAATCATCGCATTAAGCCATATCGCAATTCTTGTCTTTCCATCCACAAATTCCAGACCTCTTGAAATCATAATTAAGACTTTCTTGTACCATTTAAGACTTTTTATGGCCTTAAATCTGATACAACTAAATTTAAGTCTTTTTAAAGACCAGCGGAAACCCTGAATGAACTCTGCAACGACCTACAGCCTGTTCTGACTTACTCCTATACCTTGTCTAACTTGCAATAAAAGTTCTCTTGTAGTTGATGATCCAAAATCTATATTCTATAAAATTCAATTAAAAAATTCTTCCTAGAGCTCTTAATGCTACTCTGAAAAAAAAAGAAAAAAATGTCTCGAGTCGAGATATTAATAAATTTTTTGAATTAGTTTTTTTGTTTTAATTTCCTTTTAACTTTAGATTAAGTAATTTTGTTGTTTTTGTCATGTTTTATACGTTTTTTTTTAAATAAGTATACATAGATTTCATTCATTTTAATTTTAGTACATCCAACAAAAATGGTACCGACCAATCTTTTTTTTTTTTTTTTTTACAATCATTTATATATAAAAATATATAGACTTCAAATGATCCTGTTTCGAACAAGGACTTATCAAGCCAACATTCAAATTTAGTCTTGATGAACATTTCCATCAAGTTAATTTATTGATCTTTAAAAATCGAAAGTGGATTAGAATAGTACTGCTTTAAGTAATGACTATTTGCGTTGGGTTTCTGTAGTGATCTTTGGCACATTCAGGATGATGTTAGCAGTCATTTGATACGCTATGATTAATTCACACTGTAAAATGAGAAGACGCATGACAACAGAGTGGCATTATGAGTCATTGTAACGTACACTTCTCCTTACACACTGATCCAACAGAGACAAAGTGAATCCCCACCTGAGCCACCCAAAACCTCAACCTGACACGAGTCAATCAGTGTGTGCTATTCATCTGATTAGGAATGGATTTTTCCTAATCCTGATCAACACTTCAATATAAAAGAGACACCTTATATCTCAGGTGCTTTCAAGTCAGTCTTGAGTCTTATATATTAAGATCATTTTAGTTCCTTAATTTATTCCTAGTTTAGTCCTGCAGTTCAAGTGTTTATAATCGTAATAATGTATTTTGATAAATTAACATTATGAACATGCTTGCAAACAATATTCCAGCTGTCGCCCTTACAAAAGCTGTTGGAGTCTGAGCTTGGGTGAATCCTTGAACGCTGCCCACTGGATTTAATCAAAGGGCGCTGATCACTTTCATCTAAACTTTGAACTGATTTTTCAAAGCGTTTTCAAAACCAACAGAGTTACGAAAAGGACTGTATACATACTTTATATCAGACTAGTGTTTTTGCTAAAATTGCACAATTATTATTATGCATTAATTATTAACCAAACTACTGACTGGTTTCTGTTACCACTAGTTACTATTTTGATGAAAAAATGGCAGTTGTTTATGTAATAAACCATGAAATTATCATTAGAGTTAAAGGCTGTAGTTTATTCAGCATGTCCCTTATTGTAATGTTAAGCCACAACCTCTCAGCATACTGTAAATGACAGCTTAAATGTCTTAGTGAATGTGTTTAGTTAGGCTTACATGGCCTTTCAGATACAGTGTTACCTCAGCCAATCATAGCACTCACTGAAGCGTTTAGAGAAATCTTGCTGTTGTTGCTGGCTCAGTGTATGACCCTTCACATGCCCTCTTCTTTAGAAACCACCAAGTACACGTGATGTTTCTGCAGCTACAGATCTATGCAGATATCTATCATGGGAAACATTCAGCTAAGAGTTTATTTACATCAACATAAGACATCCAGACTAAACTGCATCATGAAATCCAGCTCAAGGTCAAGAGGAGAAATTTGTTTTTGTAATGTACTGCTTCCCTGATTACGGAGTGAAGTACATTTTATATGCAACATTCAAAAATAAATACATACATAATATATTGTTGTCGTTGCGTTGTACAAAGTGTATGATAATACAGTGCAGCTTAAAATGTTTAATAAAATGTTTGAAAAAATTGATTTGAATCTGGGAACGCAAACTTGCCAAATAAAAACTATACCACTAGAGTAACACATATACAAGCAACCAATAAATTATAGATTTTAGTACATCCAACAAAAATGGTACAGACCAACAGCCTTCTCTCTTGCTCGGGTTTGTAATAACTTTTTTTTTTATTACAGTAACATATCTATATATAAAAAATCTTTAGGGTTCAAACTATCCTTCAGACTGTTTCAAACAAGGATCTGTCTATATTTGTCTATAAAAGATATATAATATAGACAAATTATAGATTTTTTTATGTTTACAAGTTAAGCTTGAACCACATTATAATAACAAGATAAACATGGGGGAAATTGTCAGTTAAACAATATACTATTCTGCACACTGGATGATAAAGTCATCCTATACATACAAGTATATCATTGTTATTATGAGGAATCAAACTCTATAACAGCATGCTTTCAAAAGACTAAACATAAGATTATAATACAAATTTCCAGTATCTCATCTGTGTTAACTGCTTTCATTCCAGAAATGAATGCATGTGTAACATGCATTAAAGCTCACCAGAAGGACAATGCAGCTTGTTTTACCTTTTGCTCTGTAGATCTAGCGTTCCTGTATAGAGATTATTCTCCTTATATACACCATTTCGAAACAAACCGAGACGCAAATACACAATAAAATAGTTTAAAGAGCAGAACACTAGATTAACTAATTGACTGTATGGTTAATCTTTTGCGGTGCACCTCTCAGATAGCTAACCTTTAATGCTACTGTGCTAAAAGCAAAGGCTAACATTAGGGCTCATGTGTCCGATTGTTACATACCTCGGTCCCTATATCCGGTTTTTGTTAGCTACAGACCATTGTTTCCATTAGGATCATGGTGAAATGCAAAAGCATGAATCAACAACAGACAGTTTCCCTGCTCAAGGGGATGTTATACTGTAACAGGTTGGAGGAAACAGATAAGGCTTGTTATTGGCCGATCCGTGGTCATGTGATCAAACGAGGGCTGTAAAGCGCGGCTGAAGACCGATGAGCTCATGGGAGGAAATGGGACTGAAGTTGAACACTCGAGGAACAGCACATTTGAGTGTTATCGACTCACCTTAAGCATGTCCTTCATCTTCTTGAAATAATGAACTGAAGTACTTACAAATAGATATCACTGCCATCGCAAATGATGAAATCATATTTCATAAGGTAGTCACGAATGCAAACGTCATTGCCATTAGCTTATGTATAATAATCAAGACGACTGTAATATATAATAAAATAATATATATATATATTTAAACATTTTCTAATTAGATATTTTTACTATAAATTATAAGAATATTCATTTATAAGAAGCACAAATTTGAAGTGAAAATTTTAATTTCAAAATGTTTTAGTATTTGCTATTATTTGCTTTAATGTCACCAGCACTCGAGCTGTGTGAACAATTTGTGTAAAACCTAATTAACGCATATTATCCCACATGATTTGAGAAGGATCCAATAGCATCCTGTGTTTCAATCGAAGCAAGAACATCTGACCTTTAGTAAAAGGTGTTCACATAGTCAATAGACCTTATTTAGGCTGTAAGTGATAGAAGTACAGTCAATTCAATGGGTTGTAATGTTGTTTATTTGTAAAGACTGCTTTAAATTCAATATGGCCTCTAATAATTAAGGTTTGTGCCACACATTTGCTAATGAATTGGTGAGTTTTAAACATTTCAAAATTCTAAAATGCTCTGTTCCTGTTCTGATGCCTGATCAATTTAGATGGAGGTTTATGATGCTCTAGAGTCTAGACTGACCAGGGGTGTCTTGTAAGAAGCTTGGTGGAGCACATGGTTAAGCACACAGTAGATTAACACACTAAGCTTTTGCTGAAGTGGTCCCACAATACTGCATGGCAAATGGCTATAACCCCACTGGTTAATTATGCAGTTTAAAACGACATTTTATCTGAACAGTGAATGCAATGCACACATGCAGCTAGTGGAAGACTGACCTAAACTGGCCTTAAATAAAAAACCTAAAAAAATAATTTTTTTTTAATAGATCGATAATTAGATCTGCTCATATATAGCCTATGCACTGATTCTTTGCAATCCAGTATTCACATGATGTCGCCTAGTGGTTGAAATACAGAAGCGCTCCCACAAGAGGCCACCTTGCCTACTATGTAGAATATTATCTTAGGTAAATACTGAGAAGGGGTTGAATGTGTATAACGATTTCTTTCTTTCTTTCTTTCTTTCTTTCTTTTTAAGAAAATGTCTTTACAGAAATGTCCCTGACATTATCTTTATCTCTGTAACGTGCAAATAGGTAAATTCAATATTTAAAATAATAATAATAATAATAATAATCACACAACAAAACGTTACAATAGTAATTATAATACTGAACATCCAGGTACGCACTTTATGAAAATAAAATAATATGATTTCGCATGATGAGACAAAGTTAAATCGAGTAGCCTATGTTAAAGAAGAAAGAAGATAAAGAAAAGAACGAAAAAGAAAATATGCATGCTGTATATGGCGTTAATGTTAAAATCGACGACGCGCCATAAGCTAACATTACTATACTTTAAAACCTCCTTTCTGTCAAAAGACAGTAAACATGTAATTCTCAGTGGTCTATTCTATGTCCGAAGGTGTGACTTTACCGCTGACATGCAGTGTCTCTTTACAATTAAAGATATTTGTATTATTTATGAAATTTTCAATATGAATCGGGATTACATAAAATAAAAAAAATTAATAAACAAAAATAAAAAAAGATGTAATCATTTGCCTTGTTTCTGATGAACATGCCTAAACATATACCACCTCAAACAGTAGGCCTATTTTCATTGCAACACTTCACCATGTTAAATGGATTCAGGGTATTTTCAGGGGGAAAATGCTAGCCTACTTGTCGTCTATGTGAACTGAAATTCACAAGAATTTCATAACGATGGTGAATATCCTATAAATTAGTAGTTGTCAATTCCAGTCCTGGGGTAACACTGCTCTCTTATCTGACGCCCTCGGTTCAGTTCATGGATCTCCCTTCATAACGAGCTGATGATCTGAATCAGGTGCGTTAAATAAGAGAGACATACAAAATGTGCAGAGCAGTGGTACCCCAGGATTGGAATTGAGAACCACTGCTATAAATTATTCACAGTTGTTTTTTATTTATCATCGAATTATAAAAGCGCAAAATAAGACGTGAAGAAACGTTTTCTATGTTTTCTACGTTTCTATGTTTCCGTTAGGCTATAAATTATCACAAGCAAAATGTTAAACTGTGTGCCTATATACTGCACTTAAAAAGGACAGTTAAAACCTTTTTTTCTTTTTGAACTACATTAGGCCTATATATATATATATATATAGCCTATTAATATTTAAAGTGCGTTGCATCAGCGCAAATAATATACCAGCGAAATATTTACAAGTTCTTTAAATTCTCGCAAGACATTTTTGCTGACGTGTTTTTAAAGACCCTAATCTCTTAAGTTTGAATTTAATATAAAATGTAATAGATATTTATTAATAACCATGAAAGGCCTTATTGCTTAAAAGGTGATGTGCCATTCTATGATAAGCTCATATCTTTGTTTCGAGAGGATTTATTCAGTTTCATTTTGCCAAGACTTTCGTTTATTTATTTTTTGCAAGTTTAAATGGAATAAAATAATGTGTCTCTAATGTAATTTAATTATACAACTTATTTCTTTGTTAAGCTTATAGACTGTACACAAGAACGTTGGTGAAAGATATGCGATTAAGCAGCAACAAATAAACTTCGAAAAGAGAAATCTTGTAGAAATCAACTGCAAAAAAACACATGTAGACCTAGATGTATAAGACCTACAAAAAGTCTTCAAGTTCAGAAATGGAAGCATCTTCATAGAAAAAGTGTATTCAAATCATTTTTATATGAACGGCTTTTTTGTATTTTAGGATAATATAACAGATACGACCAAAAAGCATTACTGACCCGCTTTAAAAGTAAACGTATTCAAATGATCGAAGACATTTAAAAAGGAGCACGACAAGTTCAATGTTTTGACTATGAGTTTTCCCTTTATTTACAGAGGGTGTCCAAGCATGCTGAGGAGGAGGTGTGGCGTTGTGCTAGACCTCCTTAAACTCAGATGTCTATGTTCCTGATTCAGAGCTCGGGTTGGTGCGGTAAGAACAGAAACAGGCTGCCCTTACTGGGCGGATCAGACTTCTCACTCCAGCTGCGTGGACGGGGCCACACATTTCGGAACTCCTCAAAAGAAAAGCAAACAATTTCACTCGTATTTTGAGCGTTCAAAGGTCGAGCTTCAGTCAAAGTCTTCTTTACGTATTTCAAAAGTTCTCCACAAACGTAAGGATGTTTTTTTAAATGATCATCGCATCTAAAAATCTGAATGGACGTTTATGCCTCGGTGCCTCACAAGGACATCTGAATCCTCAATGTGACCTCAAGGTTTCTACAAGCTTCCAGGAGGTTCGGAGAACATTTGCTACATTAAAACTATAATAATGCAACATCCTTTGGAGATTGGGGCGCACTACTACCCCCCGGATGTCCATCCAGACCAAAGGTCTCACAGGTACAGGAGTTTCATGATTGAAGAGATTCTTACAGACCATCCGAATCACAAGATATCAAGTCCCACTGGAGACCTTCTCAAATTTGGAGTACATGCCCTTTTGTCCGCCAGACCATACCACAACCACTTAGGTAAGTACCGTGACCTTTCAGTCAGACGATATTTTGAGATCCGGCATGGGCAATCCCTTAATCTTAACCTTCTCTTAAAACAGGGACATTCAAATTGCACAACCTCTCGATTTGCCTACTCAAAGAGAAAAGACTCCACATTGTCTCTGTGGACCACACACAAAACAAATCAGATATCTCAGATCGAAATATATGCAATGCAATGGACCGAGCAAGCTTATAAAAATTGCAAATGCACGTTCAGTTCAGGCCCCACTGCGTGCATGTCTTGCTTTTCTATTGATGCTCCGGGAAAGAAAGTTCTTACCAGCCCGTGCTAGAAAAAAAATCAATTCATGACAATAAAAAAGTGTTTCATTTGCCGCCTTAAATTGTAAAATAAATAATAGTGGTGCCAAAGTTACAGATTGCATTGATACATTTATTGCACTTTTCAACATCTTTGAATTTAATTACAGATGAAGAAAATTCAGTTGAAACTGCAAAAATCGAGTAGAGAAGTCTAAAATTATTGTGATGAGTTAAACGTTTGGAAATAAAGATGTTGTAATTAAAACATTTTTACACGGAGGAAGCATAATGCAGCTAATTTCGAGGTTGACGTACAAATATTCATGTATGAAAAATAAGACTCAATTTTTAAATGATACCACCCGTTATGGATGGATAGATGTAAGCAAAAATTAATCTAAGATTTCCATTTAAATAATCAGTCTGTTTATCGAAGATTTATAGTATCTTTCGTAAAAATTCTTATGGATTCAAAAGTATATAATTCAACTGTAGCTAACAGCTAGATTGATCAGGAAAACTGTTATATTATGTAACTGATATTATTTTATAAGCTTATATAAAGTTGCACATAAAATCCATTTTCACCATGATGAACCATTACGGATCCATCCAAACTCTTTTTTTCCCCCTAACTGACATGAAAATGTCACTATCACCAAGCTGTAGTTCCGACTAGATTATCATGACTAACACACACACATACAATTGTTTCAATTCCAGTCCTGAAAGCAGACCAGACCAGTATCCTTAAGTTTCCAGTGTCTCCACTGTCCTGCTCGCTCGGGGCGCCGTTGGGCTCTGCGCTTCTGTCCGGAGCTGCGGGTCTGCAGATGGGCTCTTCATCCCATCATCTCCCGCTTGACCTCCATCTTCGGGGTAAACTCGACCCTGGAGCTGATTCAGTAAGCAAGACTAAGAAAGGAAGAAGGAGTAGGACTGTGTTTACCGAACTACAGCTGATGGGCTTGGAAAAACGATTTGAGAAACAAAAGTATCTCTCAACTCCTGACAGGTAAACACGCTTTTAATGTCAATTATTTAACGTATTTAAACCAATGTCAGTGTTTCACTTTTTACCCAACTGTATTTTTTTGTTATGAGCATAATTATGGACCTACAGTTTACATGCAAAGAACATATTTGTGTTGTCTAAGAAATGGCTTAGTGGACAACATTCTCTTTTACAGAATAGACCTGGCGGAGTCTCTAGGCCTGAGTCAGCTTCAAGTCAAAACATGGTATCAAAACAGAAGAATGAAATGGAAAAAAATCGTAAGTTCTAATAGTAAGCATAGAAATTATGATTCAACTGACATACCTGTGAAAATGTAAACTTATGTGTAGGCTACCGTTGTTGCTTTGAAGGTGCTGCAAGGAGGTGGGCTAGAATCTCCGACCAAACCCAAGGGCCGTCCAAAAAAGAACTCCATCCCCACCAGCGAACAGCTGTCGGAGCAGGAGAGGATACGAGAAGCGGACCGCTTATCCGACGGCGGTGCTTCTTCACTTTCTGATGCAAACCAAGAGGAATAAATGAGAACACCCCGATCCGTGCGGATACGTTTGTCTCCGGGACACAGACGGACCTATAATTGGCCTCTTTGGATCATTGTGCACCGATGCCTTTATGTTGGCACTTATACAGACCTAACCACTTGGCCTGATTTTATACTACATATGTTTTGTCTGTTTGTTTGATTAAGCCAACTTTTGCGGGCCTCGAAAAGTCATAGTGAACTTTTTCCAGGGACCTGAGCGGTGGTTAGTAGTGAATGGTCTTTCTCTCAGCATTGAAGGCTGTAGTATCATGGACTTTTTTATCGGCATATATTGTGCTTTTTACGCTTTTCATTTAATTGGTATTTCATAAATATTCTAAAAAAAAAAAATTAAAAAGTAATTTTTTCGAAGACTTGTGGCAATGTGACGTTTTTTCTTAAACATGGCACCACAGAAGACACAAATGACAGCAGCAAAGTCAACCATAATAATAATAATAATACCCATGAATAATGTAAAATTCCTCGTTGCTGTTTTTCGTTTCATGTTGTGTCAGATTCTTGCCCCATATCTCTGAGGCTCATCGAATGCGGGCTGTGTTTTATGCAGAATTGTTTATGGCCTAACTGAGCCCCATCACACCGCGCATTAAACTTCTTTTGGCGTGTTTACGCAGTAAAAGTAAATATGTGGTAACACAATATTTTCGAAGTGAGGTTATTTATTTTCACAGAAAGATCCTTTTAATCAAAGACACTGGTTATGGTTACTGGTTAAGAAATGTCTGAAGTAAACGATTTGCAGTTTGATGAATGTGTAGGCCTGTTCATTTTGCACCACAGTATTTGCAAAATGCTAAAATGATCTTATTCTGCTGATAACTTTGGAATTGGGCTTTTTAGAAAATACATCTTTTTTTCCCTCAATTTTTCCTGAGGGTCCAACATATTTAACGCCTAGGACCCTTGCCTGATTTCTTGCCTCAAGAAAGTAGGCCTATTAGCCTAGATCTTGAAATAAACAGTATGCTAAAACATTATGATTAATTTTAATAATAAAATTAACAAATAATATTACATTAGACCTACATAAGGCTTATAATGCAGATCATTAAGTTGTGCATTCAAACAGTGTTATTAAACTTTGTTTCATATATTATCATACGGACTAGCCTACATTTTTTAATATTGGCCCACACTAGTTAGCTACTGCATTGCTTAGCATTTACAAAATATGTGTTATTGATGTGGCCTAATCAATGTTACCGTGTAAAGTAGGCCAAGTAATGTACTCCAGTAAAAAAAAACAGCGTATTTTGCAACTTCTGGACAAAGTTATTGATATCATCAATCAGCATCAACCTATAGCCTTCACAATCCGGATACATGACGTTTTGCTACTGCAGAACCAAAGAAATGATTGATAAATAATTTGAGGAACTGTCTGGTCTGATTAAAGTCTTGACTATTCATTTAAAATATTTTATT